ACACAGTTATAAAAAAAGCGGAGTGTGTAGATGACAAATTTAATAACTCAGCTGGACAAGAACTCGTGAAGACATCTCGGACATGATCCAATGGTATGCAATACAAGCATCGTGAGAAAGCGTAAAGGGAAGTGAGTTATGAATCCATGTTCTTTTCTTCTCTATACAGAAGGGTTCGAATGATAAGCATAAACAAAATGACAATTAAGTGAAAGTTGGAAAATGTCATGAAAATGTTAACGACCTGACAAAAGTTGGAACGAGGAAGGAAAAGGGACAACAACGAAATGATACAGAAATGATCCTGGTAAACAGAATTCGTGAAAGCAGATGGGACATATTGCATTAGCATAGATGGGACATATATCAACACAGATGGGACATGTATCAACACAGATGGGACATTGAATATCAACACAGACGGGACATGTATCAACGCAGATGGGACATGTATCAACACAGATGGGACATGTATCAACGCAGATGGGACATAATATATCAACACAGGTGGGACATGTATCAACGCAGATGGGACATAATATATCAACACAGATGGGACATGTATCAACGCAGATGGGACATAATATATCAACACAGATGGGACATGTATCAACACAGATGGGACATGTATCAACACAGATGGGACACGTATCAACACAGATGGGACATAATATGTCAACACATATGGGACATACATTAACACAGATGGGACATGTATCAGCATAGATGGGACATATATTAACACAGATGGGACATTGTATGTCAACAGTATATCATTTTTCAGTCATAAAAAGCATAGAACGAAGTGAGCTATACGATTTTGTTCTCTTTCAAATGGTGCAGATGAATTATTACTCTTTAAAAAGTACAAACAACGAATTTTGAAAAAGATCTAACAGTCAAGAAAGGTTCCAATGGGAAACGATAAGAGAAAAGATTCTCTGTCAAGCAAACACTGATGAATAGTGAAAACGATTAATAAACAAGCAAAGCTTCGTATGAAGTACGAAAAATAAAATCCAACGACAAGCATACAAAGGTTTGGCCAATTATAAAACAGATCATGGGTCAAAGAGAGGTTGGAAAGAGTTACAACAATTTGAACAATCAAACAAGGTTGGAATCAGTGACCCCGAAATAACTTTCCAATTCTTCCAAAAACGTTCCCTTGTGGCAAATTTCATTCCATCCTTAGCACTATCCAAGGATTGCAAAGTTCTATCTCCTTATATAGTTCCTAATTTTGAGAAATTTGACGTAAAAAAATTGAGTTTCACAAAATGTCAAGCTTTTTTTAATACAATTCTTTGAATATCCTGATAATGACTCCAAATAATCTTACGCTTTTTGTAGAGCTGGTAGAACATTTGGTTTCTGGCCTTACGTTCTTAGTAAGTCGAAACAGCCAAAAGTGTCAAAAAGGACTTTGTAATTCTAAGTTGGCAATAGGCAGGCACCAAAGCTTCCGTTCCGGTTGGTCTACAGATTATCAAATTTATGGAAATCCCAAGAGCATCGGCAATATTCAACCCTACATCTGAACACACCACATATACATATTACCATCTATGAAACTTAAAACAATGGGTGAAAGGGCATTTGAATATCAAGGCTCCAAGATCTGGAATGCTTATCAAATCTTTTGATTCATTCAAATGTCAGCTGAAGTAATTTCTGTTTTCAAATTAATAAGAGAAATATTTGGAGAGATTTTCTTTGTACATTGTATTATTGTATTGTAAAGCGCTCAGAGCCTGTGTTCTTTAATCGTGATTGAGCGCTATATAAATGTAATTTATTATTATTATTATTA